TTTTTTTTTTTTTTTTTTGGGTAAAAAAAGTTGGTGAGTTTCGTTCTTGCTCACAAGTCATATATGGGACAATACAGACAAACGACCAACTCCAATTTTGACTTCAAATGCATTACCTAATAATTTACCCACCACCGGCTCGTACTTTCCTAGTTTCAAATTTCAGTATATAACTTATGGGCTACTTTCCTTGACGAATTCAGAAAGAAGAGTATTCTTTATTGAAGAGACCACGTCAAGTGGACAACGCATCGCAGAAATTTTCTTTTAAAAGCGTTATTTTACTTTTTTTTTTCCTAATGTTTGTTGACTTAAAACTGGTAATATAGTTAGGTGTTTGTCTTGATTTTTTTATCATAGTTGATTTTTCAATTCTTTGAAGGAATTGATTTTTTTCTCTTCTAGAAGGAGATTATAAATCTCTCATATTTGACTAATCCATTTTTTTGGAGGAAAAAGTTTGGACTTTTATAAATTGAGGATTATTTTTTTTCATTCATCAGCTTCCACAATGTAATCATACGAGGTTTGAGAGTCTTGTTTAAGAGAAGAATTTTTCGAAACAAGTGTTAGTATGTCACTTGTGTTTGCCTTTTTGTGAAGTTGTTCTCTCGATATTTTTGTGCTCTATTTTATATAGTGAATTGCTCATCTCCACCCGTAGATGTAGGTCAATTGAACGAACCACGCTAAATGTTTGTGTCTCTTTTGATATATTTCTCTTTTGTTGTCTGATTTATCGTTGTTTAAGGTTTGCTTTACTAGTTTGCGCATGACACCTGATTATTTGGATATTAACAAATTTTACGTTAACAAATAATATGTCTTACAAATAATGGGCGAGAGGCATATAATTATTTTACTTTTTCTTAAGTTTGTTGGCGTTTGTTTGAGTACTGAAGAATATTTTGTAAAAAACATTTATTAAAGGTTGCTAATAATTTTTTTTTTAAATTTATATTGCTGCTGAGAAATTCAAACTTATATGTCGTATTTCTCTAAATTTCTCAGAACTTAAGTATTATTTTTAGACAACGAAACTCTATGAGTAATCTTATTCTTACACTGGTCAACTTGGCTCTTACAGTGATACAAAACAAATAATTTGAGATAAAGAGTGTAAATGAAATGGTTCAATATTAGAAATCATGAATGCGCAAATAACAAAATGTTACTCCTCTATTTTATTCATACAGTGGTGTTTAATTAGGCATGAGATTTTAAAAACAAAGATTTTTTTTAAACACACCAAAAGTATATTTATAATTTGTGATCTTAAATATATCATATCATTAAAATAAAAATTTTGAAATTGAAGAGTTTTAAATATAAAAATACGGTCATACTTTTTTAAATTGACTGAAAAAGAAAAGTGTCATATCAAATTAATTAGAGAGAGTGGTCTTTAATAGATTAATGGTTTCTGATGGTAATTTTCTGTCACTAAGAGATTGCGTACCTTCATTCTCTTGGACTAAAACTGCACTTACCGTAACTTTCGAGACCGCGAGGTAAACTAGCAACGTTTCCCCCTTCTTTTGATTTTGAAAGCAATGGAGGGCTTGACAAATACTTCTTTAAATCCATCAAAGCTTGCTGGCACTCCAGGGTTCATTCGAAACTTTTTTTTATTTTTGAGCAGTGCGAAGAAATGATGACACTTTTTTGACGACCGGAAAATGAATCTGCTCAAAGCTGCCAATCTCCACGTAAGACTTTGGACTTCCTTCATGTTTGATAGTTTGTCCGGGATATCTTCTATGGCTTTGATCTTATCGGGGTTTACCTCAATCCCCCTTTGGGATGCCAGAAATCTCCGTAGCTTACCAGAGCTGACCCCGAACGCGCATTTCTTGGGATTAAGTTTCATATTATGCTTCCTTAGGATGTCGAAAGTTTCTTGCAAATGTTTAAGATGACCACCTGCATTTGAAGACTTAACGAGCATATTATCTATATAAACTTCCATAGTTTTTACTATTTAATTTTCAAACATCTTGTTCACGAGTCGCTGATAAGTGGCTCCGGTGTTTTTCAACCCAAAGGGTATCACATTGTAACAATATATACTGATATTTATTATAAATGAAGTTTTTTCCTGATCTTTTGGGTTTATCTTAATTTGGTTGTACTCGAAATAAGCATCGAAGAAACTCATTAATTCGTGCCCGGACGTAGCATCAATCATTTGATTGATGTTTGGTAGTGGGAACGAGTCTTTCGGGCACGCGTTGTTAAGATCTTTATAATATAAACACATGCAAAACTTATTGTTTTTCTTAGGAACTGCTACTACATTAGCTAGCTAGTCCGAATATCTTACCTCTCGGATCGAAACGATATTAAATAAGCGGGTTACCTCTTCTTTGACAAATTTATTCCTAGCTTCAGCGATCGGGCGCTTCTTTTGTCTTACCGGAGGTATGTTAGGATCCAACCTTAACTTGTGTACGACTACCTCTGTCGGGATTCCTGTAATATCTTCATGCGACCATGCAAAACAATCGACGTTAGATTTAAGGAATATAATGAAATCGGACCTGAGTTTTGGATGCAGTCCTGTCCCCAAGTGGAATTTCCTTTCGAGGGATTCTTCGAACAATGCGACTTGCTCCAGTTCTTCCGATGTAGACTTCGTTGCATCGGTCTCTTCTGGAACTTGGAAATATCTCGTCACCTAATAATTTTTCGACGCCTGGATAACTACATCTAGTTCAAGAGTAGGTGCCGATCCCTGTAATTGCTATGCCATGTGTTCCTTTCCTTTGCTACTGGAGACCGAAATTGATGGTACAACTTTCATCTCGTACAACCATGACCTTCCCAGGATGATGTTGTATCTCATATCACTATCTACCACTTCGAAAAAAGTTGTTTTCATTACTCCTTCCGTATTTATGAGTAATAAAATTTCTCCCTGAGTTATCACATTTGCGAGGTTAAATCCGGCGAGGAGCTTTGTGGACGGAATAATGCTTCCGGTGAGTTTAGCTTGCTCCAATACCCTCCATTGTATGATATTAGCCAAACTCCCTAACGATGTCAAAATCAAGTAGTTGGAAAAGATCTGTTGAAGACAACTATCACATTGCCAAATGTAATTTGCTTAATTGCTTTAAATATATGGTGTAATTAGTTTCTCCAACGGGAGTCTGTCAGATGTAATTGGGATGAAGCAACATAAAGTCGTCCAGTTTAGGCATATAGATTTTTGTTGTAGAGAAAACGTGATAAGATTTCCGTACTAGAACGCCAGATTTCATTTGCATGACTCAACTCTGAACTTGAATTCTAATGTTCGGATGGTGGCAAAATTCCGACCTCCGGTGGCGGGAGAATCTGAAGTAGGCTATCCGATCCCTCCCCACCCTGGCCAAAAAATTAGAATCCAATATTTTTCAAAAATTTAATAAGCCGGGTCGGGATATAACTTGCTTAAAGTTATGCCGAGTTATGCCCCGCCAACCTACTCTCGCAATACTTAAACATAGACAAAAGCTAAATAGCAGCGTGATATGATCCTATTTGTGCAAACCTCCCTTGAGAATTTGGTTGATTTTAGTGCATTGGCCCAAAAATAGAACAATAGTCCCCTTTAGAAATTAATTTGATCCAATGTTTTTAGGTTTGGAAGCTGTTTTTTTTCTTTCTTTTTTTGGATGTTCCAATCACCCAAAATCGCCCTAAAATCTGCACGAATGCATCAAATGAGTACGAGGCGTTTTCTATCGCGTGGTGTTTGGTAGCCATCGAGAGATGCATCTAGCTAGTCAATACTAGTAGTCTACTACTAGTATTAGTTTGGGGATGAACGACTTTTACTTGTTGAAACTTTCAAACCTTTTCTTTTTGGTTCGAAACTGCATTTCGCACGTGTTTGGTGATGGGTGTGACATAACAGATTTCTCCACTAGCTCCACTGACCTGTGACATTTTGGACATTCAGTCTTTGAACTTGATTTTTATTTTATTTATAAAAATACATTAGGAAATAAACAAGAGGTAACATAGACAATGCAACCTTCAATAGAAAAGAGAAATAACAAAAAAAGGTTGAATAACGAATGATACAGAACAGGGGAATTCCAAAAATAATAAATCCTCCATTGCCATGAGCTAGCATTCTTGGTTGCCACAAATGGACAATAGTTCTGTTTATTTAACTAATGCGTCGGCAAAGGGTGATGCCATCGCCAACGGGAAGCTGACAGATTTCAATTCTTGAATCAGCAGCCAAAGCCTTGTTGAGTTCCAATACGAAATCCCTATAATACCTAACATATTTCCTAAGGGGTGCATCTGGTGGTGCAACCACTGATCCATTCCATAGGGTGTTGTCATATCCAATTAGTCCCCCAACTTTGACCAAGTCGATTAATCTCTTGTGATAGTTCAAGTAATTGTCTTTGTCAGCGTCCACAAATATGAAGTCATATGATCCATGGTATTTGCCCTGTTACAAAAAATGTTTCACAAAAATTAACATTAACCATCGTACACAAGTTTTCAATTTATTTACGTATGTGATATTGTGCTCATGGGATTATTGGTACTTACGTCCTCAATCATTTGGTCAAGAACAGGAAGTGCAGGTCCTTCTCTGAATACTATTTTGTGAGCTAGTCCAGCCTTTTCAATTATTGGAAGGCCAATCTCATAGTTTTCCCGGTTAATATCCATAGCTAGAATCTGAAGCAATTTCAGCAAATTAGTACAAATTTAAAAGTTCAATTATCATCTGCTAGACTATTAGCATTTAGTAAAAGTTAATTACCTTGCCATCATCGGGAAGAGCCATGGCAGTAGCAAGAAGAGAGTAACCAGTAAAAACACCAATTTCCATTGTGTTCTTGGCATTAATGAGTTTAAGAAGCATGCTCAAGAATTGACCTTCATCGGCAGAGGTGGTCATGAGGTTCCTGTTTTATTCAAATGAATGGTTGTTATACTTCCAACTAGCAAATTACAACAATTAAATATTCAATTTGCATGAACTAAAGTTAAAAGTAAAGTAAGAGAAAGTTACCAAGGATGTTTTGCAGTAATCTCCCTTAGCTCTTTCATGGGTTCAGGCTCTCTTGGGTACACGCTTGTTTCAAGAATGTACTGTTGAAACACAAATCAGACAATTGATTAAAATCTAATATGTTTATAAAAGTTCTGCATAAAGGGAATTAATTTATTGTATGACAATATATGGATGTAAAAAAGTGGTATACCTGATAAAGGGCATCACTTTGCAAGAGACTCTTGTGTCCAACTTCTTGATGTCTTCCATTTTCTCCATTGGTTGCCATTGCTGCTTGTTCTTTCGTTGGTGTTGAAGTGGATATATTAGTAACTATCTTTGAAAGTAGATAAGTCTAAGTTAGCAACCTGCTTTTGGAAAAATGAAAATGGTTTATTTATATAGGAAACGAAAGAGGCATAAAAAAGAGTGGAGGGGTTGGTTGGCTGAAAATGATAGGAAGTTGGTGAAGTGTCGTTCTTCCTCTTACAATTTGTGGGACAATACAGCCAAATGAGCAACTCCCTTTTTGACTTCATAATTAAATGCATTACCTAAAAAAATAATATCCACCACCAGGCCTTTCTTTGACGAATTCAGAATCAAGAGAATTCTTAATTTGTTTGAAGAGGATTAGTCTTAACCGAGTAAACATAATGATAAGTTAGGAGTAATAACTGTAGTTGGTTGCTTATTAGCAAAAGTTAATTATTTTATTTCATAACTTTTTTAACATTTATCACTTCTTCAGCTAATACTTATATTATATTCAATAATTAGCAGTATCAATTTTTTTGTATTCGGTTTTACTAACATTATTATCATTTTAATACGTAGATGCTTTTCCAAAAATGTGTTTCACGCCCAACAACTAAATACCGAAAAAATTTCTTCAGAAAAACAGTTTTCAAAAAATGACTTACCGAAGATGCTTAAGAGTTTGGTGAGTGTACCAACGTTGCCACTCTTGACTCCCGTTCTCATAGTATAGCAACTGAGCAACCGAGGAAACTTCATAAGTGGATAAAGTCACTTTCTCTCTTTTCTTTCATTTTTTTTTTCCTGGTCATCACATTTAAATAAAAAATAAAAAAAGAGCAAAGTGTAGGTGGGTTGTTGGAGTGGAAAAAAGGGTTGGTGGTGTAGGTGGATTCATAGAAAGTATATTTTATGACTCAAGATTGGGAGACAAAATGCAGCTTCATGAATAAAACTGATGGAGTACTTGAAATCATTGAATTATTGAAGAATAATCTATATTCATATTTCTATATCTATATCTATCTATTTATATTTATTATAAAAACATGAATAATTTATACTAAATATTGAACGACAAAAATATCTCCAAATTATTAATCGATTTTTATGACTTTTAATATTTATATAATTTAAGAATATAATTGCAAATCAGTTGAGGCATGATTTCTTTTCCATTTAGACTACACTACACCAAACCTACAAAGTTGCTTTTGGGTCAAATCTCCTCACCGCCTACTTCTTCTTCTTCTTCGTAGCATGCTTATATTATACCACAAATATGTTTAACTTTCTCCCTTTTTGTAGTTTACAAATAATTAATATGGTTATGATATTTCATAAATTAAAGACGACAATCATTGTACTTGTGGAACTGCTTGTTTTCGTAATGTAACAGTAGAGCCTTACAATCAACTGTGGTCAAGATTTCTCTTAATTTCTTGCATTGCATTATTTTTAAAGTATTATCTTTTGTAATAAGTAGAATCGTTTTTTTAGGAATTACTATTAGTTATTATGTAATTAGAAAATAATTTTAGTACTTTCACTTCGTTTTCAAGCTTGGTTCTTTGGAGCGCAGGATTATTGCGATAATGAATTGGCGAAGATCACTAATAATTTTTGTGAAGAGAATTTCATCCAGAGAATTAAATATGCAGGATAAATATTTATACATGATGGCGAAGGAGTGCCAGAGATTCTATTGCCTAAACATATGGCTAATGTTGAGTATATATCCACAAATATTCTATTTGAGTAAACTCTATTTCACTGATTTATTCCCTTGTGTGGTTAATTATGTCACTAAGTTTGTGAGTTTGCAATAAAGGATGATATTGTATTACTTGAAAGGTCAGAGATAAAATATTTCTACAATAAAGCACTTTAATGTTGTGTATAACTATAATATTTAAACTAGCACACAATATCTAGGATGTTCAATCCATCTAAAATATTATAGACGAATACTTTTTTTACTAGTTGAGGAGACGAAATACTCATATATTTTTTTTTGATGAGGAGATACCATAGTTAATAGGACTTATACTAGATGAGGAGACGAGTATAATTTTTTATCTGAAATGTGATCCTGGATTATGTCTTATTAATATAGTATAGCAATTAATTAAAGTAACAAAATTTGTCAAACTTCCCAAAATTATTATTAGTTCTCTACCATCTTTTTAAAGGTTGGCGTACAGCTTCCAACTATATGTTAGGCAGGATGTTTTTCATGTTAATTATTCACATGTTAATATAATTTGTAATAATTACTTTTCTTTTACCGTCATTTATTTTTGTTGATTAAATATAAATAAAATTCAATCGTAATATATCGGATAAAATATGTCATTATGTCATATGAACTCTAACACACTCTCTTATTCCACTATCATCTTCTTTTCTTTTTATAATTAAACTATATGTTTTCCGTTAACTTAATCTCCTTCTATTTCGGAAAAATTACATAATATAGCCGCTGCTAAACATAATAGCCGATAAATGTATAACTTGCCATATTTTTTCTATTCGAACTGTATTTACGATTCATTCATTCAATGCATATAAACTTGAACCACGAATCTATTTAGAAAAAGGAGGAGAAGAAGATAATATTCCATATTCTTCATCATGAATATTTGAAGGGGTATTCGTTTTAAGTTGTTGTGCTGCCGCAAAAGGTAATATTCGGTAAACTTCTCCAAAATTATTATTAGTTCTATATTATTTTCGTCTTCTTTGAAGTTGAAGATTGTTTTTATTTAGGATTATACCTTAGGATCAAAAGTTGAACAGTTTGAGGCTTTAAGCTTTAGTGATAAATTCAAGCCGTCGATAATTTTAATATTTAAGAAGAAGCAAATATATATTTCGTATAAAAATATTTTCTCTGCCATTTGCATTTGTATACACACTTCTGATCCTTATAGAGTTATTCTTGTGTGTGGAACTCTTCGTGTGATTAATGCTTAGAATAAAATATAAAGAGAAGCAAATATTTTGACTGCTACACTTTTGATTCTTATAGAGTTTATGTTATACCTAGAGCTTTTTCTTACTAATGCTTTAAAATTAGACTTTGATAAGAGACTGGTATTGGATGTACGTTAAATTAGTTAAAATGGCACGGGCTAGCCAGTTTTGGACTGGTCATTCAAAAATAGCCGACGTTTGCCAAGTCATTGAAAATAGCCACTATTTTGCTGCAACAGAGACCGATCCAGCATAATATACTGAAGTTCGGTGCACTTGTGTATGAACTTCCAGCATATTATGCTGGACCGGTATACTTTGCTGGCTCCAGTATAATATACTGGAGTTCCAGCAAAGTATACTGGAACTCCAAACTCCAGTATATTATACTGGAGTATTTTCCGGATCTTGAACAATGTTTTCGTTCAAATTTATCTTTACATGAAAAATGACTAAATTTCGATGATTTTTGAAACTGTGACTATTTTTGAATGACCACTGATAAATCTGGCTATTTTTGAATTTCTCCCATTAAATTAAGGTTCTTGATTACTTATAGTGGGTTTGGTGGAAAAGAATAAGGTAAAGATGGATAAGAAAATAGGTCTAAAGTATTACAAGAAAACCCACACATCACATTGTAGGCCCAAGAGTGGCAAATGGGCGGGTTGGACTGAATTTGGGCGAGATAAGATGAGCTGAGTCAATAAATGAGTCATTGTCCAATCCAACCCAAAGTATTCTTGGGCTAAGATGGGTTGGGTCAAGATGGACTAAACAATGGGTCATAACCCAACCCACCTAACTTGACCCATATTTTTACAAATTAGAATCATACTCCATCTTGTATGAAGAAAGCTTTTAACCTTATATACACGTATGTATTTTTCTACTTTCCCAACTTTTTCATAATTTATTCATTCATGAGAAAAATATACGGGTGAGCACTTTTAAAAAGTTATTTAAGAAAATGATATCATTTTTTGTTTATTCCATATATAGCAGATTTTTTTAAAATATTAGCACATTAAAAAAGTTATACATGCAACTGATTGCACAAATCAAGGGATATGATGTTTATCCTTATTTATGTTTCGCCCGCTCTCTTCTCTTAGCAGTTTTAAAAATAAACTAATCCACAAATTAAGGGGTCACACAACTCTTCTTTTATTTACTTAAGGGATAAAAAAGGGAGAAATTTTCACACAGTTCCTTAATTATCCCATAATCGAATCCTCAAAATGTTGGATAATATATTGATAAAGTACGTACTAACTAAACTCGATTAGATAAATAGAATATACCATGTATTTTGAAGACAGAATACATACAATTTTTATACATAGTCAATACAATTAAATAAATATAATATACCATGTATTTTAATTGTATTTAGGTATAATAATAGTATATGCTTTTGTTGTGATGACCCAAAATGTCATCTTTAAATTTAATAATTAATTATATAATTTAAGTACTATTTACCATTACTCGACTTGCGTGTGCAGTCCGTTAAAAAAAAAAAAATATTTCGAAAAGTTTTCAGGTGAAAAATGAATTTAAATGTGAATTAGAGCTTTAAAACTCAACTGAGTTGACTTTGGTCAACATTTTGAGCAAACAGACTCGGATAAGTATTTTGACAATTTTGGTAGGTCTGTATCGTGATTTAGGACTTAGGTGTATGCCCGGAATCAAATTCCGAGGTCCCTAGCCAGAGATATGAAATTTTGATGAAAAATTAAAAGTTTAAGTTCAAATAGTGACCGGATGTCAAATTATGTGCAAACGACCCCGGAATAGAATTTTGATGATTCCAACAACTCTGTATGATGATTTTGGACTTAGGAGCGTGATCGAAATTTTATTTGGAAGTCCGTAGTAGAATTAGGTTTGAAATGCCGAAAGTTGAATTTTTGGGAAGTTTGACCGAGGGGTTGACTTTTTGATATCGGGGTCGAAATCCGATTCTGAAAATTTTTATAACTCAGTTATGTCATTTATGACTTGTGTGCAAAATTTGAGGTCAATCGGAATTGATTTGATATGTTTCGGCGCAAAATATAGAAGTTGGAAGAATCGAAAACTCATAATTCGATTCGATGCGCGATTCGTAATTTCGGCGTTGTTTGGCATGGTTTGAAG